CGACATACCGCTCGTCCGCGCCGACTCCGTCACCCGAGGGTGCTCCGCGCTTCCTCGGCGGCTTCTTGAACAGCCGGTCGAGGACTTGCGACGAGGATGTGCCGGTGTCTTTCTGGCCGAGGGCGGAGGAGCGGATCGCGTGCTCGTCAACGGTCGAGCCGTTGCGCTTGATGAACTGCGATCGTACGCGCGTCAGTACGACGTTTGCGAACGAATTCGCTGGGAAAAGAAGCGACGTACCTGCAGCGTGTTCAAGCAACTCCGCAAGTCGCCCTCAGCGACGTCAACCAGCAGCGACAGATGCTTGTTCTCCGTCGACAATCCTTCGACGTCGCAGATCGTGCGGAGGCGCTTGATGAGCATGGGCGCGGTAAGCGGGTTGAAGCGGATGATTTTAGCGAGGGGCCGGAGAGGGCGGAGGGCAGGGGCGTAGCTGTGCGAAGCGAGTGATGTGAGCATTCGAGCGAGACTTGCGACATCGCCAGGCGAGGAAGGGCGACGATAAAGGTGGCCGGGACTCACAGGTCGTTGCAGATGCAGATGATAGGCCGGAGTAGCGGTCGTTGCTGCTTGCCCTTGCCCTTTCCTGCTCGAGATGCGCGTCAGCAGAATGTCAACGTACTGAAGAATCTTGACAACGTACTCGACGGCTTCTTCAGCAACGAGCCCTCCGTGACGAGCTTGACGAGCGTCTTGCCGAAGCTCTGCGAGACAACGTGAACATAGTCATCAGCCCTTCGTCCAGAAGTACCGAGACCGAGCACGCTCGCGTAGACTCGCCGTATCTCCTCCGCCTCCCGCTCCATCAATCTCATCCACCACAACACACGTAGGGCTCACCGCTCCCTCCTCCCTCTCCCTCTCCTTCCCTTTCCCGCCCGCTCCCCCTCGTCCCGGCTTCCACCCACTCGTCAACGCCTGCGAATCGACCGCATTCCGGATGCGCTCATCGACGATACGGGAGGTCCGGTCGTCCGAGGCGTTGATTTCGAGGACTTGGTAGCCTGCTTGTCGGGCTAGGACGTGAGCAAGGGTGGTTTGGCCCAGTCCTGGGGGCCGGAGAGGAGGAGAATCTGCGAGGGAGAGCGAGAGCGAAGGTCAGCGTCGGAAGAGGGAGAGGCGGAGAGGAAGCACCTTTTCTTGCGGCCGTCCGTACGGGTCGGGAGCCTGATCAACCCGTCAGCATCTCTTCAGATCTCCAAACGATCGAAAGCCGCGAACGTACCGCCTCCTGAAAGCCTCCTCCCTCCGCTCCTCCCGCACCGAAGGTCCCCTCCCTCGCCCTCTTTTTGCTCCTCTCGCGCTTCAGCTCGGCCGCAGCAGTCGCCTTCGAGGTGCCTTTGGAGACGCAGGCGTCCCATTCTTTGAGCCAGAGGAGGGCGGTGCGGTGGACGCGCTGTGTATGCCAAAGGTGGAGAATGGGTGTCAGCGGATCAATCTCCCACACGAGCAGCGACACGTCTCGTCTGTCACGAACGAGAGACGTTTGCGCGCAATGAAGCGTGAGACCCGAAACGCACCTCGTCGCCGAGCAAGTCGACAAACCGTTTCGGCCGGTACCGGTCGGTCCAGAGAGTGGTCTCGACGGGCGTAGCGGCGGCGCGGGAGGTCTTCGATGGCGAGGAAGCGAGGAGGGCGGCGTTCGTACTGCGAGGAAGGAGGAGCGTCAGTTTGCGAAGGTCAATCTCCCCGACAGCGATGAGCTCCATCGTCTTGCGAGGCAGCAAGCGAGCAAAGCGCTGAAAGCTGGACGTAGACCTACGCATCGGCCTCGCGCTGCTTCTCTGCCATCGCGGCAGCGTGCTCGACCCGCGGAGGAGAGGGTGGTAAGGTTTCTCGAGCATGCTCGACGCGAGTTGTTCCAGCGCAGCGAGTTCCTCCTTCTGCGCGCGCGGACCAGATCTTCACGTCAGCACATCTCGGCCGCAGCGAGTGAGCCTGACGAGTCAAGGCTAGGAGACGCACCTTGTTCGACGTCGCACCCGCTCCAACGCCCTTCCACCCCTCCAGCCTCTTCCGCCTCTTCAACACGACCTTCGATCCGTCCAGCCTCGTTGCCTGGATAGGCGCCGCCTCGATGTATCCGGGCGGGAGGACCGACATGTTGAGGTTCGACACGGAGCCGTAGGCTGAGAGGTAGTCGGGTTGTGCGAGCGAGAGAGGCCGGCCTTCGAGGTGGGTGCGTGAGAGATGGAGGACGTGTCTATGGGCAGGATGGCGCGTGAGGAGCGGGTCAGACGGGCCGAGGAGGAGAAGAACGCACCATTCGCGGTCGTGAAGGAGGCCACCTCCTCCTCCCCAGGCACCCGCTCTCACTCCTTGATCCTGTCGAGCGAGATCTGTAGGAAAGAGACGCAAAAGTTAGTTCCACTGCGCAGCGCCCGCTCGACCGCACATTCTGAACTCGGCGGACACGGACCTCCTCTCCTCCCGTCCCGCAACACACCACTTCTTCAGCACCTCTGTCCTCTTACGTACAACCGCCAGCCATGCCCAGCTCGGTCACATCGCGCGCCTCGAGCAATTCGGATGCGGAGAGAGCGAGTCGCCATCACCCGATCCCGCCCCGTCACTGAACCGCGCTGACCTTGGAGCCGACGACAGCCTGAGCACGTGAAGAAGCCGCTCTGGAAGGCCTTCACCACCGCCCGCCAGAACCGCAACCCTGGCATCCTCCTTCCCGTTGTCCGTGAACAGCACGCCAAACCCGTCCACGGCGGTGTCCAAGAAGGCCTCGCAACCAAGATCGCAACCCTCGAAACCACCTCCCTCTACCTCATCACCAGCAAGGCGGAAGAGCAGGCTGACATAGTCGACCTCCGAAACCAACTCGCCTCGATTCAGTCGGATGTCGAGAAGCTGAGGACCGCCTGCAACGACCTTGTCAAGATCGTCCAGTACTTGACTCCCAACATCTACGTGTATGTCTTCGGCGTCCTCGCAGGGGGGGCAGTCCTGGGTCTGCAGATCGCGAATCGTCAGTCTGGTTTGTCCTCCGTTTGTTGACGCGCTGTGCTGAACGACTTGGCCATGCAGTCTGCCACGCAGACCCCCGCTTCACTTTCTCCGCCGCCATCGTCGGCCAGGTCGCTGCCCTCGTCGTCGCTGGATTTGTCGTCTACTCGTACGTTTCCCGCTGCGACCCTTTCACCGATATCCCGGCTGACCTCGTCTCCCGATCTCTGCCGCTGCGTTCATCTCCACCATCTCCTTCAGTTGGTTCAAGACGCGCCCGCTCGCCGCGAACTTGGCCATCTTGCCGGCTCCGGTGACGGCGCGTAACGTTTAGAGGAGGACGAGGACTCACAATCTCGTCGTAACGGTTCTTGGTCTGGGCGTGACGGGGTTTCTGAGAATGCACTTGATTATCCGGGCGCTGGCAAGCCGAAAGGCAGGTCTGTAAGCGAGTCGAGTGAGTTGGCAAGGAGAGGGGTGTCGCGATGGAGGAGGACGAAGGGGACGCACCTCGCACGGCCTCTAGGTTTCTATGGCTCTACAGCGATAGGACAAGCATCATTGTAGCTGTTCTGGCGAGAGCGAGGGAGCAGTCGAAGGGAGACCTGCTCGCGAGGCGTCACCTCGAGGCATTCTCTCCCCAACGCGCCGTCCTCGTCGCTCGGGCCGCTCTGAGGCATACGAGTGCACTGCTACGACTCTCAGAACACTGCGCTTTCGCCGTCACCCGCCCGCATCGCGTTCCCACGCCGAACGAGACCCGGCCTCCTCCTCGCTTCATCAGCCAGAACTCGCACAGCACGCAGCACGCTCCTAGGGACGACGCGAACGTCGAAGGACTTCGTTCCAAAGCGCTCGGTGCCAACCACATCGAAGCGCAGCTCGCCACACACGACCCTCACCCACTCTCCTACCCTCCTCCTCCTCGGCATGTCCCTCCCCTCGCTCGTCCCACGACTATACGTCGACGTAAACGACATCCCGCCTCTGATACCCAAACGCATTCTGAAAGCCCTCTATCCCTATTCCAGCCTCTTCCCTCACGTCGTCGACACTCGCACCGACTGCCCGCCGTGGACCGCTGAACTCGAGGCGTACTTCCAGACCTTCCACTGGCAGGTCTGGGTGTGGTTGACGATCGATTGCATCACGGAGGAAGAAGCGTTGCAGGGCCTGCGTGCCAGACTTGGCGAGTTGGAGCAGTCGAGGCGCGCGCAGGAGGCCGACGAGGGAGCGACTCGCGAAGACTTGAGGACCGCCATTACGCTCATCGAGGCGAGACAACGTTTGCGATGGGAGAGGCTCTATGGTGCGCACTTCTCCCTCCCCATACGCTGTTGGCTAACGATTGCGCTCGGCAGGTCTTTGGGACGCTCGCGAGAAATTCCTCGCCCGCTTCGACAACGGCCGATGGCGCTTTTCCACCAAAAAGGCGATTGCTGCGGCTCTCGGAACTGCCGACTTCAAGCATCCAGAGGCGGCGGAGCAGTCGTGTGCGTCAGCTGGTTTCACGGTCTTCACTTCGCTCTTCGCGGCAAGCCCGCTCACAATCATGGATCGTACAGTGTGGCCCATCTCTGAACCGCCGGAAGACGACGTCGACGTCATCCGCCTGACCGAGAAAGACAGCAAGTGGACGCAGTACGCTATCCCAGCAACTCCGCCAGCAGGGGATTCCGTAACGGAGAACAGGAGCTGGGATGCCGCCGACTCGGATCTGGACGACGAGGCGAGCCTGCCTGTGCCGGATCACCCGTGGCGAGAAAGCGACGCGGTACCTCTTCTCGCCGCGCCCGTCAATGGAGCGCGCTCGTCCGGCTTCTCTCTCAGTTTCTCCGGTCTACTTCGCCACCGCTCCCCTCAGGCCGTGTAGTGCGTCTTCGATTCTTACGCTTCAATGGCACGCGCCGCCCAGCCTGACGCGCTTCTCCCCTGCGAAGGCTCGACTTCCCCACCAGCTTTTACAACACTCGCATCGCATAGGTGCGTCCTTTCCCCGCTGTCACTCGCCACATCTGCACGCTGACACTCCCCCTTCGTGCGACCGGGCGACGTTCGCCTCAGCAGCACCTCGCGGACCGAACTCGACGGCATCCTCGCGCTTCTACCTCGACAAGCAGGTGCGCAAAGCCTTTCCTACTGCACGACCATTCTGCCCTGACGTCACGTTGTCGGTCAGCAGACTCTCTCGTCTCTTCTGCTCCTCGCCGCCTTCCTTCCTCCTCACCTCGGCGGTCGTACCATCCTTCCCCTCCTTCTGTTCCCCGACTAGTTGTTGTTGCACTCAATATACATCCTTTGTGTCAGTAGCCATCCCATACTGTTCGGACTGACAATTCGCAACGCCTGTCTAGTTCCGCAAAGGCAATTGCATGCGCTTTCGGCGGAAAGACTCAGCTCTGACAGCGTCTCCTGGACTCGCAAGGAGTCTTCCAGCGCTGTGCATCGAGTTTGACGAGCGAAGCCGGCCATCCGCGTCGAATAAGCGAGCATTTTACTCGCTCCTCCTCTCACTTCGTCGCTCGCTACGGCGGAGATAACATCGAAGCTATGCAAGCGAGCGAAGCTACAACTGCTAGAAGTCGGAGACCTTCTTGTTGACGCGCACGGCGTTCGAGAAACCCTCGTTGAAGCGGTACGTCGCCTGTCGGACGCGCTTTGGCGGAGGAGGCGCGATGGCGAGCGAGTCGCCTTCTGTAGAAGCAAGGGGCGACGTCAGAAGCGTTCAAGAAGCTGGAAGGAGGGGGTCGGCGCACCTGCTGCGGGAGAGCATGCCTTCGGGAGGATCGCGCGCCCGAAGAAGTCGACAGCCTGCTTCGTCTCAGGTGCTACGGGCGCCGCAGCCTTCGCCGGGTTTCTGAGAGAGCGAGCAGCGTCAGTAGAGGACGATCAGGCGGCGAGCTCGGGAGACGCACGTCTTGTAGGCGGAGAGGATCTCGCTCGCCGTCTTTGTCGGCCCGGCAGAGCTGTCGCCTCGCCTCAGCAGT